AGAACTGCCAATGCTGGAGTCTGAGATAACAAGGTGTGGAGCTGGAGGAACACAGCAGGCCAGGCAGCATCAGAGGAGCAGGAAAGCTGACGTTTCGGGTCTGGACCTTTCATCAGAAACAGACCCTTCGGTCCAACCAGTCCATGCCAACTATAATCCCAAACTAAACAAGTCCCACCTGCCTGCTCTTGGTCCATATCCCTCCAAATATTTCTTATTCATGTACTTATCCAAATGTATTTTAAATGCTGTAACTGTACCCGCATCCACCACTCATCTGGAAGTTCTTTCAACACACAAACCAATCTCTGTGTAAAAAACGTTGCTCCAACATATCTTTTAAAATTTTTCTAATCTCACTTTAAATATATGCCCCCTGGTCTTGAAATCCCCCACACTAGGGAAATGACTCTACTATTAACCTTATCGATACCCCTATTGATTTTATAAACCCTTATAAGGCCACCCCTCAGCCTCCTATGCTCCAGTGAAAAATAGAACTCATAGAATCCCTACAGTGTGGAAACAGGCCCTTCTGCCCAACAAGTCCACACTGACCCTCAAAGCATCCCACCCAGACCCATCCCCCTAAAACCCACCTAATCTACACATCCCTGAACACTATGGGGCAATTTAGCATGGCCATTCCACCTAACCTGCACATCTTTGGACTGTGGGAGGAAAGCAGAGCACCCGGAGGAAACCCACACAGACACGGGGAGAATGTGCAAACTCCAGACAGACAGTCGCCCGAGGCTGGAATTGAACCCTGGTCCCTGGCGCTGTGAGGCAGCAGTGCTAACCAAAGTCCCAGCCTATCCAGCCTCTCCTTATAACTCAAACCCTCCATTCCTCGCAACATCCTGGTAAATCCCTTCTGGATCCTCTCTAGTTTAATAAAATGCTTCCTATAATGAGGCATCCAGAATAGGGTACAGTACTCCAGAAGAGGTTTCACCAACGCCTCGTAGAACGTCAACAAGATATCTCAAATCCTACATTTGCAGGCCTGAGCAATGCTGGCAAGTTGCTAAGCACCTTCTTAACCAGGTGGTTGCCTCGCTTACCGAGCTGGCTGGTTATCGTGTAGACGTTTTGTCACCGTGCTCAGTATCATCATCAGTGCAGCCTCTGATGAAGCAATGTTGTTCTCCTCCACTTGGTATTTATATGATCTGGTCTGTTAAGTTGGGTTGTGTCATTTCTGGTTCTGTTCTGCATGGGTTTGTATATGGGGTCTAATTCCATATGTTTGTTGATTGCATTACGGGTTGAAAACCAGGCCTCTAGGAATTTGAGGATCGGAACGCAGACGGGTTGAGTTTATCGTGGGATTTCAGCTGGAGCTCAGCTCCTTGAAACTCGGAAATGACTGTCTTGAGAGAATTACAATAATTGATTTGAATCCAATGCTCTGTGACCATGCACTAAGCTGCAGAGATGAAAAAGAATCCAATAGGTCATTTAAAGATGTCACAACTTATGGCAACCTGTATTTTTGACGAGACCCCCCATTTTCCTTCCTCCTTTGTGTTGTGTCCTGAATAATTTACCACTGTTTTAAAGGTCATTTAATTTACTGTGTTTTTGCTTTCTGTAACCTTCCCTGCCAACCCATTATGAAGCCTAAATGTCAGCCAGTCCTTTACACTTGTCCCTGGACCAGCCTGACATTCACTGGGAGATCATTTCTCGGTCAATGATTCACTTTCTCATCCAGCTCATCTCACCAAAATTCCTCCGTTTTCCTGCACGTTTTAACCCAATTACGGCTTGAAGGGTTTAACTTTCATAGGGTCATGCAGTCCTACCGCACGGAAACAGACCCTTCGGTCCAACCAGTCCATGCTGAACATAATCCTAAACTAAAATAGTCCCACCTGCTGCTCCTGGCCCTTATCTCCTCCAAACCTTTCCTATTCCTGTACTTATCCAATTACCTTTACAACATTGTAATTGTACCCTCATCCACCACTTCCTGAGGAAGTTCATTCCACAGACAAACTACCCGCTGCATCAAACATTTGCCTCCAACTCTTTTTTAAAGCTCTCTCCTCTCACCTTAAAAATGTGCCCCTTAGTCTTGAAATCCCCCATTCTAGGGAAAAGACAACTACCATTAACTCTACCTGTACCCTTCATTATTTTATAAGCTTCTAGAAGGTAGCATCTCAACCTCAACCATGACTCTATCAAATGGAAATATATGAGGTAGAAGCAGGAGATGACCATTTGGCGACTCCTGCCTGTTCCCCCATTCAACAAGATCATGACTGATCAGATTGTATCAGATTCCAATCCATCCTTTTGATTTCCTTTTCACTAAAGACAACCTACTTACCCTTGTCTTAAAAATATTTATGAGCACCATCTCTGCCATCTTCTGAGGTGCAGAGTTCCAACGTCTCACAACCTTCAGAGTAAAAGTAAAATTCTCCTCAACTGTGCTGAAGGAGCAAATCCTAATTTTAAAACAGTGACATCTAGTAATGGACTGACCCACAAATAAAAACATTCTTTCCACATTCACCTTCTGAAGACTTTCGCTCTCCTAAGCTCCAATGGAAATAAGTCAAGTCTATCCAACCTATCTCTGTAAAACAATCCACACGGGTATCAACATAGTAAACCGCCCCTTCGTCTCTCTGGGACCTCTTGCTCACAAATTTCCATAGATGTCTCCGAATCACGGAGGAAGCAAAGGAATTCTCCACTGTGACCTCTTGACCCATTTCCATGGCAATTGGATTTGCTACCAGATTTTGAATGGGCCCTTTTGAAGATTTGCTCCTGTCAGTGAATCCTCTCAGATTCCCAATCCCTCCACAGAATCTGTGCTGCTCATACCTGCTGTAGCCAGAGAAGATTCTGGAGCTTTGTGCCTCTGATCAGCTGAACAGCGAAAGGTGCCCTCTTTGACAGTTCATTATAGCTCGACAGTAAGTGTGATATGACTGGTTAGGCAGGCAGTGTAAGATGGTATTGAACTGCAGGTTACTGGCAGATGATGATGTTAAAAAATAAGATGGCATGTTTAAAGGGCACAGCTCACTTAGTTTGAAGTCTGTGCTGAGATGTGTGACCAGGTGGTGATAGCCATCACTGTAGCAACACACTTTCTGTATTACACTGTGTCACAACTTGACAAAACCCCTCTGTTATTTCCAGTCATCAAAAGGTGACAGAAATCTTAGTGACTTACTCCTATATCAATTGTCTAAACATTGGAGCCTATGTTTTGTGTTTATTCATTCACGGGACGAGGGCATCTCTGGCTAGGCCAAGATTTATTGCTCATCCCTAATTGTGCAGAGGGTAGTTAACATCACCGTGGGTCTGGAGTCATATGTAGGCCAGACCAAGAAAGGATGGCAGTTTCCTTCCCTAAAGGACATTAGTGAACCAGATGGGTTTTTCCTGACAATTGACAATGGATTCATGGTCATCATTAAAGCTTCTAATTTCAGATTTTTATTGAATTCAAATTCTACCATCTGCCATAATGGGATTCGAACCCAGGTCCCAGAATATTACCTGGGCCTCTGGATTAACAGTCCAGGGATAATACCACTAGGCTATCACCTGCCCCAAGTTAGATACAGAGTAAGATTTTATGAGAGAATCACAGCTGCTATTTCAAATTGTCTTGTGCAGAAGAAAGACTTGACATGATAGATCTGTGCCAACACAGTTGATTAGCTCAGTTGGTTGGGCAGCTGCTTTGCAATGCCATTGGTGCCCAGCAATTGGGTTCAGCTCTGCTACTTGGTGAGGCTACTGTGGAGGCTCTTCATCCTTTACCTGAGGTATGGTGCCCCTCAGTTTCAACTCGCTACCAGGCATCTCTCTAATGAGAGAACAGTCTCTGGGGCTGTGGTAACGTTCATATAAAATTCCACTTTTTTAAATTATTATTCCATAGCACAAGCAACTTAATGGCAGCAAACGAAACAAATAAAACCCTCTAACTTCGAAAAGCAAAAGTAATGCCCAAAGGTTAGAGGCGTTCAGAAAGCAACTATTCATATCTGGGCTGAGCAGATCAGGAACAAGAGTGTGGAATGGTCATGTGTGCATGTGTGTTCCAACCGGTTCAACGTCTGAAGCAGTCAAGGGGGTGGGTGGATCTGAAACTCTGAACAGACAGACCCAGGGCACCGCTCAGTCTGGGGTTCCAATCTGCCTCACAAAGAAGAAACTGTGAGCAGAGTGAGATTAAAATTCTGATAGCCCTCGAGTTGGCTGACTCCAGAGGGCTAATGGAGTCAACGTCCCCACGTGTATAAATGCCCTCTGAGAGGAATGAGGGTAAACTTTAGAACTGGGGCACAACTTTCAAAGAATAATAGGATAATCCAGAATCAAGCAGTTCATATTTTTTGTACAGCTTAGTATGAGTGTGGGTTACATCCGCAGTATGGACAGACAATGGTTCTCAGTTCTTCCAATCTTTGTAACTCCCTCCCTAAGGACATTGTGGGTGGACCTACAGCACATGGACTGCAGTGGTTCAAGAAGGCAGCTCACCACTACCTTCTCAAGGGGGCAATTAGGGACGAGCAATAAATACTGGCCCAGCCCTCATCCTGCAAGTGGATGAAAATAAGTCTAACTCCCAAACTTCATTACAGTTTCAGGTGACATGCCCATTATCAGAAACTCTATGAAATTGTGAAGCTCTGCAATGGGGATTTGGTAAAGTTGGTTCTAGGATGAAATGCAATGGATAAAAATTACCTTCCTTATCCAAACAAATCTGGAGACCTTGCTTTATTCTTTGATGATGGGTGCAGTATTGATTGACTGAGTAAAGTTGATCCAGTGAACCAAGAATGACATCAATGGGAATCAATGGGAACTGAAAACAACAAATACTGGAGATCTCAGCGAGTCAGACGGCATCGAAAAAAAGGGAGCAAGCTAACGTTTCGAGTCCAGATGACTCTTCATCCGAACCACTGCCTGACCTATTGTGAGCTCTTGGATTTTTTTGATTTCAGGATTGGAATGCTGTTCATTGGCAGGGGAATGGAACTGAGAAATCAGGAGCCATACAGGGTATTGGTGAGACCACATCTGGGGTACTGTGTACGGTTTTGGTTACCTTGTTTGAAGATTCATATAATCATAGGATCCCTAAGGTGTGGAATCAGGCCATTCGGCCTAAAGGGTGTATACTGGCCCTTCAAACAGCATCCCACCCAGACCCACCCTTCTATCCTATCCCCATAACCCTACATTTCCCATGGCCAATCCACCTGCAAGTCTTTGGGTGCAGCATTGCTTTAGAAGCATTTCAGAGAACATTCAACCCTGGGATGAAGGGTGAACTTTATGAAGAAAGATTGAACAGATTTGGGTCTAATTTTCGAGTTTAGAGGAATGAGGGCTGATCCTATTGAAATACAGAAACTCCTGATGGGATTGGATAGGGTGGAAGTAGGGGAGGTGTTTCCTCCGATGGAGGGCATTAAAACTGGAGGACGGAGTTTAGGAAGAAGAGGTCTCCCTTGTAAGACAGCAATGGGGCAAAATCTTCAGTCACACAGAGTGGAATTCTCTTCCTCAGAAAGTAGTGAAGGCTGGGTCTTCACTCAAGGCTGAGTTAGACAGACCTTTAATCCACCAAGGAGGCAAGGGTTATGAGGCATTCAGGATATCAGAGCTGAAACCACAACCAGAATAGTCACAAGCTTATCGTAGGGACTTAAGAACTAGGAGCAGGAGTAGGCCATTCAGCCCCTCGATTCTGCTCCACTATTTACTACAATCACGGCTTTGTCAGGCCACTTTTGGAATGCTGCGTTTTTCTGGAAGGAACGTAATTACATCGAGAGGAATTGAAGTCTGACACCTTGTTAATCTGCTGCTTTTAATAAACTGCTTCGTCTGGGCTACGATTGTACACAGTCCCATTAAGTCTGTCCAATGAATTAGGATCTTGTATAACCCCCTCTACAGCATCCATTATTCTGTTGGACTATAACCTGGTGTTGTGTGACTCCTGCCTTTGAGAGAAGTAATTCCTCCTCATCTCTGCTTTAAATCTGACATCCCTTATCCTAAACCTATGACCTCTCATACTAGATTGTCCCACATGAGGAAACACCCTCCTTACCTCTACTTTGTTAGTCCCCTTTAGCATCTTATATCCTTCAATTAGATAATTATCAAACAGGGCCAAAATGTTTACCTCCGCTTCTAAACCCTATTCTCCATATTATCACAATGGCTTAGAAAATAGCCTGCATCACAAACTGAAGCCAGCTTTATTCATCATCTGCAATGAACAGGTTAAAGGCACCTGGAGAGATGTATTTTTATTATAATTAATGAAATCATGTTTAATCGCTCTTAAGATTACAAGGACAATGCAAAAGAGGAAAAGGAGAAAACTAACTTTTGTTTATTTAATTCTATTTCAAAATGTTGCAACTTCGTACAATAATCATTGCTGATCTCCAGCTACATTTTTGCGTGATTTTTCAGTACTTGCATTCCACTGTTTCAAAAGTGGAGCCCTTGCTGTTCCCCTTGGATGGTTTTTGCACTGCTGAATCCTTCACACAAGCTGCAATAGATTTCGAGTTTGTCTCGATGCATCATGATGCTATCAAAGCTGGCAGTGCGACTAGGGGTGAGGGTGGGGGTGAAGGAGGGAGAATAGACTGAAAATTCAGAACTTTTCACGTTCTCAGGATCATTAAATCATAAAGCGATCTATCCAAGAAAGCTTGTGCTAAAGCCGTCAGGGCAAACAGCAAACGATGAGCCGGGAGAAAATACTAGTGCGGGAGAAAGAAAATGAAGAGGGAATAATGGATGTTGTAGAGGCTGTTATACAAGATTCTAATGCATTGGACAACCTTGATGGGGCTGTGTACAATCGTAGCCCAGACGAAGCAGTTTATAAACATCAGCAGATTAACAAGGTGTCAGACTTCAATTCCTCTGTAGCATCTGTCTCACAATTATATTTGAATTATAGTGATAACTGCTGATAGCTCAATGTAATTATGTTCCTTCCAGAAAAAAAATTGCATGTGGTGTCTGTCACAACCTTAGCTTATCTCAAAGTGTTTTATAGACAATTAAGTACTGTTGATGTGTGTTGACTGTTATAAACATGACATGCAATCACCGCACTGCAATATTCCACAAAACTCAATGACCAGTTAGTCTGCTTTGCAGTGGCTGCTTGAGGGATCAATTCTCTGCTGTTCTATGTTCATTAATAACTTCAGGTCTTCTACCTGAGAGGCTTCAGTTCATCAACACATCCAGAACACAACACTCCAGACAGTGCAGCATCCCCTCAACATTACACCAGCTTAGAACAGATCCTGAAATCTCTGCAATGGGATTTCCACCTTTGACTCGGAGGCAAGAGAGCTAAGACTGAGTCCGTGGCTATTTGTGGGGCTTGAGCAATTAAAAAAAAATGAGTACAGGAATGTCAAAGCAAATAAATGTAGGTAATATAACATTAAACTAATGCACGTAGTGTGATTTAATATGTATGAGGACAAGCCTTGACAGTCTGAAATATACAATACAACCATTGCTTCCATAAGTTTACATTCTGGAACCTACTTTCCCTTTGAGATTATTTCATTCAACCCAAAACAAGATAATTTTTGAGCAGCCTGTTCAGGAGTGTTATGACTCACTTCTGGAGCAGGTGGGGCCTGAACCCAGGCCTCCTGGCTCAGAGCGAGGGACACTACCACCCCTCAAGAGCCCCTCAATGCCAACCCAGGTCACAGAGTTCACCAGTAAAACAATTTGGCAAAGGTTTGCTTCATTAATATGAAACACTTTGAAATAACTGCACAGAGTCCGGTATCCTGTCATCGAATCACCCTTTATTTACACGTGGAGAGTCCCTGACACTGATCCAGCTCCCTCAGAGCCAGCTCTCAGAGTGAGCAGAACCCCTGACACTCCTGTATATATCTGTCAGCCAGGGCTCCCTGATTGGACCAGGTTAACAGCCCCAATCAGGGAACTCATATTCTATGAGGGTTCTCTTTTACACAGAGAGTGGTGGGTGTGTGGAATGCGCTGCCGGCTGTGGTAGTGGAGTCAGATACTTTAGAGACTTTTTAGCGACTCTTGGATAGGCACATGGAGGATAGTAAAATGAAGGATATGCAGGGTAGATTGATTTTAGTAGGATAATATGTCAGCACAACATCGTGGGCCAAAGGGCCTGTACTGTGCTGTACTGTTCTATGTTCTACCTGGCTGACCCCATTACAATCACTACACATTTTCCCCAGATGAGGGTAATCATGGTGTTGCGGTCTTGTTCCAGGCCTAATAGTCCAGATGCAGGATGCTAATACTCTGCCAACAGAGATTCATGTCCTGTCAATCTAAATTTTACAGATAAAATCCTCAATGTAAAGCTACCCTCAGCAACAGGAGCCGTGACAACGAGCAGTAATTGTCGCGAAACCCCATCTGGTTCGCCCTATAGTGAAGGAAATCTGCCACCCCTACCCGGTCTGGCCTACATGGGACTCCAGACCCACATCAACGGGGTTAACTCTCAGTTCAAGGGCGACGCTGAGTGTGCAGACAATTGTTGACCTTGTCAGCGATGCCCACTTCTTGTGAAAGAATGAAGGTAAGAAAGAAATGTTTCCATCTACTTGGGGTCGGACAGTCTTGATTCCTCACTGCACAGTTCCCTATGAAGTGATGGCAGCACCATGTGGCGCTGGGACTGGAGGGTACGAGTGAGAAACGATAGGCTGGCACTTTATTCACTGGAGTGTAGGAGGCTGATGGGTGACCTTAAGGAGGTTTATAAAATCATGAGGGGTATAGATAAGGGGAATGACAGGTGTCTTTTCCCTAGGGTGGGGGATTTCAAGACTTAGAGGCATTTTTTAAGGTGATAGGAGAAAGATTTATAAAAGACATGAGGGGCAACTTTTTTACACAGAAAGTTGTTCACGCGAGGAATGACAAGTGATGGATGTAGGTACAGTTACAACATTTAGAAGACATCTGGATAAGTACATGAATAAGAAATATTTGGGCCAGGAGCAGGCAGGTTGGACTAGTTTAGTTTGGGATTCTGGTCGGCATGGACTGGTTGGACCGAAGGGTCTGTTTCTGTGCTGTGTGACTCAACGACTCTATGGTGTGTTAAGTGGCTACTCCGTTTAAAACGTTTATTTACAACGGTGATATCAAAGGCCACATGAGCACAGCATGCTGTAAGGAGCTGTTGTGGTGCAGTGATGGTGTCCCTACCTCTGAGACAGGAGGCCCAGTTTCCAGTCCCACCTACTTCGGAGGTGTGTAATAGCATCACTGGGCAGGTTAGTTACAAAAAACTGAGGACATCTCTTCAAACAATGGTGATGAATGGGCGAGAGGTATGTCGCTTTGCTTATGTGGAATGCCCTGCCTGCAAAAGTAGTAGACTCGCCCACTTTAAGGGCATTTAAATGGTCATTGGATAAACATATGGATGATAATGGAATAGTTTAGGTTAGATGGGCTTCAGATTGGTTTCACAGGTCGGCGCAACATCGAGGGCCGAAGGGCCTGTACTGCGCTGTAATGTTCTATGTTCTATGTTTCACTCAAGTCTTCTTTCTGCATGAATTAATTGATGAATTCATATTTTGTTCCTCTAAAGATTGAAAGCACGTTCCAAAACAGTACAAAGCAGAAGTTAAGTTTTGCTCATTTAATTCTATTTCAAAATGTTCCGAGTTGCAAGCTCCTACAATAATCATGGCTGACCTCCAGCTACATATTTGCCTGATATTTTCGTACCACAGGTTCAAAAGCGGAGCTCTTGCTGTTTCACTTGGTGTGGTTTTTATTTTGCTGAATCTCCACACAAACTGCAATAAATTCAGAGTTTCTCTCAATGCATTGCGATATTATCAAAGCCTGCGGTGTGACTGCTGAGATGGGGGACCCCAGGGTGCGCACTGACAGAGCCTCAACCTTAGAGGCTACTATTTCATGTTGC